ATTATGTGAAAAATACTCAAGAATTTGGACAAAGAAGGAGATTTAGAGGTACTTGGATTGTATCTGGATTGGGTTCAGGGAGTTGTTCTACTCCCAAAGCTTGGCCTGGGACCAAGTTGGATAGTAAACTGTCACCAGAGGACTACCACAAAAGCATTGTGAGAAGAGTCAAACATTAGTTGCAAAGTTTGGAATCTCTAAAATTCGTGACTGGAGAAATACTAACACAAAATTGATCACAACATTTGTGAGATCAAAACGGGAGTCGGCAGCAGTTACATGAAGTCCCTATCTCAAAAACACATCAACAAAAGAGAAAGGGTGCATAGACATCCTACCAAACAGCTTTCAGACCTAAAATTCAAGACAAATGAGGGCAGATTAGGATCATTAAACATGCCCAAGCTAGCACTGTAGATAGAAGGAAACGAGGTGATATGATCACCAAACACAATTTCTTGACAGAAATCGAAAGCTGACAAGGAGGAATTTTTATAGTTTGCAGCTAGAATATGAGGCCTCTGACTCAAGCTAAGAAAACAAAGATGCCAGAAAAATGCCCAAAGTTTCTCTTTTGTGAACGAAGTTACGGACGGTTACAACAATTTAAGTGAGAGGGTGGTGGATGCCAAAACCATCAGCAGTTTCAAAAGGGGTATATGATAAAGAGTATAGGGAAGATGGGACACTACGAGCATAGCTCTCATCCTGTAGCTACACTTAGGTAATTACACTAAGGTAATTACACACGTACTGGCTGGATCTCCCGAGCTTATTACCCCTGGAGTCTTACCTAACTATGTAGGTGCAGGATGTTGCATAGCTAGTGGTGTCCCTTATCGGTCTTCTAGTATTGTCAATTTTAATTTAAAGGCGCACACACACTACCAGGATAGTGTATTCCGATGTTAGCTTCGGGAACTTGATAGTGGAGGCCGACCATGGTTCAGTGGGGGCCCAATGACGCTCGACATTGGTTACAAGATGGCGTCCAAGCTAGCCCTACTGCCAGAGCCGACGGATAACTCCGGGAGTCTGAAAAGGAGATCGGCGGACGACGATCATGTTACGAGTGATGACGACGTCAAGAAGGCAAGGAACTTGTGTGAGTTTAAGGATTTTGATAGCACTCACATCTTATTATCGATCTTGGTAGAGAAAGTGGCTAAATTAGCTGAGAAATTAAGGCAGCAGGAGCATATACAGATACGTTTTTGCCAGTTAGACATGATCCTTTGGGAACTAACCCTGGAAAACCATAATTGAAAAATTATGTAACTACTTTTAAACTGCAGCAAGATTACCTGTTGAATGGCAAATTAAACCTGGAATTTCAACAAAGCTAGAACAAACTGCATAATCAGCTGACTGCAGTTACCCAGGAGGTATAAGAGTTTAAATTTGAAAGAGCAAAGAAGGTGACAAGAGGGCAAGGGCTCTCTAGTTCCAATGATGAAGGATAAACATCAGAGATGTGATTCATATAGAGATTGCTAGCTCAAAGTTGCTCCAGAGAATGTTTAACCATAGTAGGTGAATCACCTTTTATGGTAGCAAGGTGAAAGATAGTTTAGAGGATACATTGAAACAAAAGAGGATGAAAAGATTACACCAATATAATCTTTTCATGGGAGTCATAGAAAACAGTGACCAATTATAGAAGGCCTGACCAATATGAGAATGGGAAGGACCATCCCTACAAAATGACCTTTGTTGGACCAAAAATTCCGGAGGGTGTACTTACGAAGGCAAGAAACACTTGTGACCAGCCCGTCCTCTTAATAAGTTGCCACAATGTCACAAAAATGATACACTAAATTGCCCAAACCTAACCTAACCACTGAACCCACAAATAGAACATTTCAAAGACCACAATTTAGCAAGCTACTATAATTTAGAGTACATTAAATTTTGACAATGGGCATTTTTACATCAACATACGATGTATTTTTTGAGAGGGGCAGGTTTCTGTGACAACAATAAGGAAAAGCTGTGTTCTTCCCAAAGGGATCCATCCAAGGAAGATCGGGTTAGGATAAATGATAGCCTCATGAAACTGGAACGCCAGAGATAATACCATCTTGCCAGATGTCTCAAATTTTCTCATTGCCTACCACCAGTAAATACCAGAATCCTGCATGGAAGTTAAGGGTATCACAAACATCAATGGAAACCCCTGCCAATATGTATAACAGAGGGTTACAAAAACTCAAAATACTCAAGAGCAATGTTTGGAATGAATGAATACCAACCAAATTTCAATACTACAGTATTCACAACCAAAAAAAATCTACTGCTTCCTCCTCCTCCTCCCATCGCTGACAGGTATCTTTTTGCTGTCTTGTTTGGCACGACTTCCAGTGGAATTTGCTCGTACCTTTTTCCTTTGGAGATGGTCCTAACAGACAGTTCTCTCGTTAGGAATTTCTGTTTCAGTTAGTTCACAGTGAAGGCATTTCTTCCTATGATTTTGTGAGAAGTTTGGAATGCCATAAGTGGATTTCTGTTATGTCATCCTGCTGTAAAGTTGGTTTCCTGTGGCTTCCAGGTTAAAGAACTGTGCTGGTCACAACATTCTCCTGTTTTCTTTGAAGATGATTCTCACATGCTACCCAGTTCTTTTCATGCTTTTGCCTAATTTTTGTTTTCCAATGCTTCTCCTCTTGGGATTAGCACTATGCTGTCTTGTGATATTTAGGTTGGCACCTTTTGTTTGACTTAACCTGAACCTCTCTTTCTTACTTTTATTGTAGCATTTTCATCAGCCATGTTCATTATGTTCAGGTCTTCTGTCTTCCTAAGGGGGGCGCATATTAATCTTGAACCACCTGGGTTCTTGTTTGTTTTTATTCTTAATAATTTTGAGTTATTCCTTCAATGATGGTTACTTGGTTTCAAGCTGTTGTCTGGTTCGATTTTTCATTGATCATGGGGAAGTCCTTTATGTCCTCACATATAAAGAGCTTGTCAGTTTTTTTACCAAGAATATTTCCGTGTTTGGTGGATGCCAAAACTATCAAAAGCTTCAAAACATCATACGACAACAATTATATGGAAAACAAGAAACCATGAGTGTAGTTCTCATTCAATGACTACTCTTAGGTAATTATGCTTCGATAATTACACACACACACTCACACAAACATACATGCTAGAAACAGTGATCACAAATAAAACAAATATATTACTCTACAGCTGTAATCAAGACGAAGATGCTTCAACATTTGGTTGCAAATTCTTATTATATTATATGAAAGTTTCCTTTATACTACACTGGTAGAAAAGCACAAAGCTTTCTCCAACTATAGTACTGTACTGTTAAATATGATCAAGAATGACACTCAAGTCCTGTTTTCTACACTCATAAATATTGAAGATGAAAGCTAACCATAAGACTGTAATCATTACCATTTTATATTGTGTGTTGTGTTTTTGCAATTAAGAGGGTGTTTATAATTATGATCCCAGAAACTAACAATTTGTCTTATCCAGCTATCTAAATGAGTGCTTCATGGATGACAAATGTACATCAGGTTTAGGAATGTAACCCTCTGTGATGGCCATTAATTAATGCTGTTCCTTTAAGTAAACTTTCTTGCTGGTAATTATACAAATTACAATATATATATATATATATATATATATATATATATATATATATATATATATATATATATATATATATATATATATATATATATATATATATATATATATATATATATATATATATATATATATATATGCGAACAAGCCTGAATGGTCCCCAGGACATATGCAACTGAAAACTCACACCCCAGAAGTGACTCGAACCCATACTCCCAGAAGCAACGCATCTGGTATGTACAAGACGCCTTAATCCACTTGACCATCACGACCGGACATAATGAGGTGATAGCCGAGGCTATTTGAACCACCCCACCGCCGGCACTCGGTGCCGGCGAGTGTTATCTTGGGCTTTTTGCCCAAGATAACTATCCGAGTGCCGGCGGTGGGGTGGTTCAAATAGCCTCGGCTATCACCTCATTATGTCCGGTCGTGATGGTCAAGTGGATTAAGGCGTCTTGTACATACCAGATGCGTTGCTTCTGGGAGTATGGGTTCGAGTCACTTCTGGGGTGTGAGTTTTCAGTATATATATATATATATATATATATATATATATATATATATATATATATATATATGTCGTACCTAATAGCCAGAACACACTTTTCAGCCTACTATGCAAGGCCCGATTTGCCTAATAAACCAAGTTTTCATGAATTAATTGTTTTTCGACTACCTACCTAACCTAACCTAACTTTTTTGGCTACCTAACCTAACCTAACCTATAGAGATAGGTTAGGTTAGGTTAGGTAGGGTTGGTTAGGTTCGGTCATATATCTACGTTAATTTTAACTCCAATAAATAAAAATTGACCTCATACATAATGAAATGAGTTGCTTTATCATTTCGTAAGAAAACAATTTGAGAAAATATATTAATTCATGAAAACTTGGCTTATTAGGCAAATCGGGCCTTTCATAGTAGGCTGAGAAGTGCGTTCTGGCTACTAGGTATGACATATATATATATATATATATATATATATATATATATATATATATATATATATATATATATATATATATATATATATATATATATATATATATATATATATATATATATATATATACACACACACACACACACTGTATATATATTCTATTTATTATTAATAATATTACACCATTCTCAACATAAGGGTTCATCAATATTAACATGAAATTTCCCAAGAACTGCAAAAAATGCTTCTTCAATCATCCACTGAAACTGTGTGAAATAATACAAATCAAACTTTTCACTTGGGTGCATTTCATTTGTAACAACTATACTCATCCATCTGCTTTTAATACATTAAAATCATGAAAAATTCATATCTTGCTTTAAAGCAGCCATATTTATTAAAATAATAATAATAATAGCGATAATAAGCCATATCTTCTAAAACTTACTGTGGCCATCCCTCGCCTGTCTGGACAGCGAAGAGTGTTAGCATAGCAGCCATAACATTGTCATAGTGGAAGCTCTGCTGCTTCCATTGTCTTGGCTTCACCTCTGGTGGTCGTCCATACCCATTGAAGACAAAAAACTCTCCCCTAAAGAATAAACTGAACATTACCTACACATTCACAAACTTGTGAGAATGGGTATCTTACAAAATCCATTTGGGATATACTCCTAATTTTATTCTAGAGATGAGAGATTTATTTATATTATTTATATTTTACCGGAAGTAGGTGTTAGGTGTCCTTTTCTGATGCCTTTCTTTTTATCAAAATATAAATATAAAAATTACAAATTATATAATGCAGTAAATAAAGTACAATTCATGTTAAGTACCAGCAGCTAAAGCCTGTAGTTCTTTTTATTATTGGGAAACATAATTCACGCACATTCTGTGATATATACATTATACAAATATACCCTGTTTACAGCAGGGCTTTCTGAAACAGGAGCACTAATTGAATGAGCACTCAATATGATTATTATTACATAGTCCCTCTAGAGGTGAGTTTCTGCCAGCAGAACTTATCCCCTATGACCAACATATTAGGAGTTCATTGGGTTGGTGGAACAAATAATATAGATGAAAGTGATTTTATAAATGCATACTCTGTACCCTCTTATCACTTTCCTAAAATCCAATACACACCCAGACACACACACATTAATTTATGAAGAGATAAACTAGTGAGGAACAAATGTAAATATAAATTTTCCCCATTGTAGCTCCTCCCACTTGCCAGTTACAAGAAGGAGGAGGAGGTCATTGGCTTTGAGCTGGCCATCTATAGTGTAAGACAATGCCTATAGCTGTATCTATGTCTATGTGTAATTACCTGAGTGTAGTTACAGGATGAGAGCTATGCTGTGCAATTACCTAAGTGTAGTTACAGGATGAGAGCTATGCTTTTAATGACCCGCCCATGTCAATTTCGCCCATGAATTGGGTGAAACACGATGGCTGTCAGTGTTGTTCGGGATGGGTACCTTGTTTGGAGATTTGTTATTCTTTTTACCCTGGGACCCTTGGGACCCATGGGCCCAAGTACTCTATATTCCCAGTACTCTCTCATATGATGCTCTGAAACTACTGATGGTTTTGGCCTACACCACTATCTCACTTAATTTGTTCCAACCTTCTACCATTATGTTTACAAAAGAAAAATTTCTATTTTTTTTTAACCGCTTTGCTTCCTTAACACGTAAACTGCACAACACATCAATAGCTGTGGTTAGTAACTGTCGTGAAATTGCGCACCACAGCTATTGATGTGCTGGAGTACCGTGAAGATTTAGTATTACCGCAAACCCCATGCAGTCCCGCGGCTACATGGGGTTCGCATCAGCTTCCTCAGGGCTCTTGTAAACAGACGCCATTTTAAAAAAAATTGTGGGCATCATTCCCGGGTGTAAGAGCCTCAGTACTGAGTGAGCAACCAAAGCTGCCACATGCAGCATGAGCTAACAGCACTGCTGTTCAGCTTGTAACCACAACATCGCCTAAAAAATGTAAAAATACTGTATATATGTAACTGGCATTATTTAACAATAATAATATTACAAAAGACCTTTGACTGATAAAAATGACCAGGATTCTGATAATAGCAGGATTATTGTGCTTAGTGCTGTGCATAGTATGGTGGGAGGAGTAATGCTGAGGGAGGAAAGGAGGGAGGGAGTGAGGTAGCTTCGTCTGCTGATTCTGAGTGACCACCTGTTATTGTCTAGAATCACCATATCAGCTTAGTGACTTGCTATGGTGAACACAAATGTAGATACCTATATATAATGAGAGTATACAGTGTAATAACAGCACAAACAATATGGTGGGAGGAGGAATGTTAGTGAGGGAGGGTAAGCGGCATCAGCTGCCTGTGTGTGGCAACCTCTGTTATTGTCTGAACTCACCATACCAACTTAGTTGTACAGTTATGGTGAACAAAACATGTAGATACTTATATATAATGTGTGTGTGTAAATAGTGTAATAACACCACAAACAGTATGGTTGGAGGAAGAATTTTAGAGTGTCTGGCCTTGAACGAGTGAGGGAAGGTAAGCAGCATCGGCTGACTGTATGTGGCAACCTCTGTTATTGTCTGAACTCACCATACCAGCATAGTTGTTCAGTTATGGTGAAACAAAACATGTAGATATTTATACATCATGTCTGTATATAGTGAATAAAAGCAAAAACAGTATGGTGGAAGGAGGAGTATTGGCGAGTGAGCTGTTGTTGAAGAAGGCAAGGAGGTGGCATTGGCTGGCTAGTGTGTGGCAGCCACTCCTCGTTGTTTTGACACCATACCAACTAAGTGGTTCGTTATAGTGAACAAAACATGCAGATACTTATATATAATGTGTGTATATAGTATAATAACAGCAAAACTATTTGCTTATTGTTTTACAAACATAATAATTGAATCACTAATACACACACCATAAGTTTGAGTATAGCAATGAATCACACATTTTATTATATAAATATATCACACTACACACTATTTAATAATATTACTGCAAAAAACTAAGAAAAAATCAGTCAGAGACATTGAAATAATTAGGTAATAATATCTATGTGGCAACTTCCGCCTGACAGGCGGAGGCGGAGCTAACCGCCTCCAACAATTGCTCTGTCAACGCCTCAATTTTGCCAGACTTCCTCACCCTATTGCGCCAAAAATATGTCACCTACGACCCACCCTTCCTCCCCCCCGTGGCCAGGGAACACAAATGAATACTTTTATAAGAGGATTTTTTTTTTATTTCTTGTGCCTGGGCGTGTCGCAGGTTATCATCACAAAAGCAGCCCAGGGGTTAAATTGATTCTATTTTTATTATATAAATATATAAATAACCTAACCTAACCAGGTTAACCTGTTCTATTTGCAGAACAGTTTCCTGTTCTGGAAACTGCAGTTTTCAATAATTCATCTGTCAAAACTGTAAATTCCTGTTACTATTTTGTAGATAACGTATCTCCTCTTTTTCTTCTATCTTCCAGCTTTGGCAAATTTAACACCTCTAGCCTCAACTTGTAGCTCTTGTTTTCAGTTCTGGCAACTACTGAATAGCATGGCTTTGCACTTTTTCTAGTTTGTTGATAGGCTTCTTGAGATATGGACATTATACAACTGCTGCATATTCCAACTTTGGTATCACAAAAGTCATGGTCCGAGGTTGGCCATTTTTTTCTTTTTGTAGTAAAACTACAAAAAAGAAAACTACATTTACTACAAAAAAAAAGAAAAGAATGGCCAACCTACTCATGAAAAACTCCCCAGACACCAAACAGAACGCCCCGAAGGAAACCAATGTCGTCAATGCCTTCACATGCTCGCTTGGGAACTGTAAACCCCAAAGAGCTCAGTATATAGGCAAGACAACAATGTCTCTTTCTAGGCGATTAACTATGCACAAACATCAGGGCTCCATCGAGGAACATATAATCTCTTCTCACAACCAGACCATCACCAGAGAAATCTTAACAAGCAACACAGAAATCATCGATAAATACAGCAATAACAGGAGACTCGACATCAGCGAGGCACTACACATCAAAGAGTCAACACCAGCAATCAACAGCCAATTAATGCACAACTATATTCTACCCACTTCAAGACCCCAAACCAACATAGAAGCAGCAAGAGGAGGTATCGGCCAATAGGTCTTCGGCAGTTACTTCTATTCTTATGCTTTCATACCCAATTTATACCCATTGATTCGTGTTCTAGCATAGCTCTGTCACCTCACCCAAAGCTTTTGTGCCATATCACCTCACTCAAAACTAGTATAAGTATGAATGTATTTTATGTGTAAACTAAGTCTTTGAAAATGTAATAAGCATTACAAAACGTGTTCAGGCGTCAGACCAGAAATAAAGAATGAATTTCATGTTAAACGTAAAAGGACAACACGCATACCCAAAGCATATGCTATATCTTCAAAACTAATTCTGACTTCAAAATACTTCTTAATTAAAAAGTATTTATTTAAGAAGTATTTTCAGAACCTGCATCAGAACCCAAGGACACCAAACAAGAATTAAATATCCGTCTGACATTCCAAGAGACAGCTCAACCAAAGCAGAAAGCAATATAAAAGAAATAGTGCTGGACAACATGGGTTTAGGGTGGGACACTCCTGCACCTCTTAATTGCTAGACCATTGTGACATGGTCATCGATGCCATGGAAGATGAGCAAAATGGTGATATAACAAACTCAGACTTTTGCAAAAACTTTTTTCAAATGTGACCATGGTGCAATTGCACACAAAATGCACACAAAAAAAATTACTGGTGAAGTAGGAAGATAGCTCTTTAATTTCCTGATGACCAGAACCCAGAGTAATAGTCAACAGAGTAAAATTGAAATCATCCATTGTAAATAGGTCAGTCTCCCATGGAACTCTGTTTGCTCCAGTGTGTTTTCTTATTTTCATATTGGACATATACAGAGCAAATTACAGTACAGTACTCTATTATCTTTTGCAGATGACAATGGAATTTTTATGAGGATAAATAATAGAGATGCTACAAACCTCCAAACTAATGTTAATCTAATCTTTCAGTGAGCCACAAAAATAAAAAGATGTTAAATGAACACAAGTTCCATCTCCCGTGCTATGGTATATCAATATGGAAATCACACAAAATGCAGTCAAATCACACTATAGAAAGAAAAGGCAATACACAAGATTTTAAGAGTAATCACTTTGTAAGATCTTAATTTTAAAGAACACAATGAAGTAGCTATGACAACTGAAAGACAAATGACAGGCTGGATAGCAAGCACATTTCACAAAAATGATGTCAAACCAATGATGGTACTTTTTACAACAATAGGTGGAATATGGTTGCACACTAACATCCATTCAAGTCTGGAGAAGTTGCTGACCTGGAGAATGTGTAGGGAACTCTTACTACTCAAATCCATTCAACAAAACATGCAAATTATAAGGACCTTTTATAATCTTTCAAACTGTTTTCACTAGAGTGCAGGCAAGAGAGATTCATAATAATTTATAATTTACTCTTGCAACACATTAGAAGGACTGGTTCAAAATCTGCACATATGGAAACAACTCCTTACTAGACCAGGAGGCACGATAAAAAGTGCAAAACAGCTATGTTGAAAAGCAGAGGAGTAATGGGTTTACTAAGAGACAATTCTATCAACATTAAGGGGACCAAGACTTTTCAACACCCTCTCTATACATAAGTGGCAAAGCCAGCCAATCTTTCACAGTGTTCAAAAGGAAACTTGATAAACACCTCCAAAGGAAATCTGATTAACTTGGATATAAATTACGTCAGACTGCTAGCATCGGCACCTAACCACTTGACTGACCGGAATACCAACTAGGAGGCCTAATCAGAAACCATATCTCAAGGACACTGATCCTTGAAATGACCTTAAGGTAAGGTATCATCTACAAATATACTGTATTCATGTACTGATTTTTGTGGGACCCCACAAGTGACTTTCCAACATGATGAAAGCTTCCCTCATATCACTGTTCTCTTTCAGAGTAGATTTCTCATCAATTTCAGTCGTCTAGGGCACTATACATTCAATAATGTTCATTTTTAATCTGATTATTTGTAAGGAACTAATAAATGTTTTTTTATAAATAAAAATAAAATGAAATCCACCCATGTAATTATTTGTTGTTAACAAGATGTTTTCCTTCATATACAGTATTGATCTCACTTTCATCTAATAACTACTTCCAGTTTTTTATTAACCTAATATTGTTTTTATCACAGTTGATTTAGAAAGGTATTCCTGACTGTAGGATCCCCCCTATAAGAACATATAAAGTATGGGGTCACTGCAACAGATCTGTTGGCATATTCTGGTCAGTATCCATCTGGATCCAACCCCTCTTCCTTATATATTGATTGAGCCTATTGTTAAAGCTAGCTAGACCATTTTTTTAATGGTGCTGAATGGCAACCTATTTTACTCTTTTGCCAGGGCACTACCAAACCAGTATTTTTATATATCCTTCCTATATATGAACTACTCCATCTTATAGCCATTTTTACAGGTTCTGACCTGGTGTGATAATTTCAAGATCATCCATATGTCTTCCCTGCTGATACCCTTCATCCACTTGAAGACCCCGATCATGTCTCCCCCTCACCCTGCGCCTCTCCAGGAAAGGCAGGCTGAGCTCCATCAACCTCCCCATGTATGGGCAGTCCTGAATACCTGGGAGTAGTCTAGTCATCCTATGCTGGATTGTCTTGAGGGAATCGATGTCCACTCTGTAACACAATGACCAGAATTGGACAGTGCAGTCCAAGTAGGATCTCACCAAAGCCAAATATAATTGGAGTTTGATGTTTGTGCATTTATGCTGATGCTTCTCAATATTTACCTAAGTATCTTATTCTTTTTGTTATGCACATTCTTACATTGCTGACTAGGTCTCAGGCCTTTGAAAAATATGACCCTCTAAGTCTCTTTAAAACAATAGACCAATTATGACCCCAAAGTCTCTTTAGCAACCATAGCTCAATTATGACCACGAAGTCTCTAGCAACCAGAGAATTATCATGACCTCAAAGTGTCTTTAGCAACCAGAGCCTAATCATGATCATACAGTCACTTTATTATCTGGAGACCAATCATGACCCCAAAATCTCTTTAGCATCTCGATTTGACCAAATCTGCATCACTCATTCTGTGTGATGCTATCATTTCCCAAGTTTAGAACTTTGCACTTATTTCAGTTGAACTGCACCTGCCACTTTTCTTCCTGGTTTGGCAGTGATGAGGTTTTCCTGACGTTCTACCAAGGCCTCATTTGAGTTTGTTAATCATTTAATTTTTGTGTTATAGGTAAATTTGGCTTATATTGCTGCTCATTCCAACATTTGGTCATTGATATAAATTATGAATAACAAAGGTCCCAAAACAGGTCCTTGGGGCACACCACTAGCGACATTTCTCCATTCCCTCTTGTGGAATAGTGTCCAAAATGCCTTCTTAAGGTCAAGTAGGAATACATCATAGTTGTTATTGTTGACTGACTTGAATACACTCATGTAAATAGATAGCATATTTGAGAGACAAGATCAACATTGTAAGAGACAATGTTGAGACAATGTCTTACATGAGGCTGTATGTGTCCAGGAATAAGTTATCACAATACAAACATTGTCATAAAATATCCTAAAAAATACACATCCTAACAATTTTTTATATAAATATGTGATAATCATAAAACTGGCATTATCCCTCTATCTCTTTCTGTGGACTGAAGAGTGGTGGATGGAGGTGTAGTGGGTTTGGCTTATGTGTAATTACCAAAGTGTAGTTACAGGATGATAGCTATGCTCATGGTGAGGGTTTAGTGAAGGCTAGGCAGTTGGAGTGATATTGCAGGTTGGGAAGAGATAGTGAGGTGTGGGAGCAGTCTTGGTTGGGGGCTTGGTGGAGGACTGGTTATGGTGGAAGACAGTGGCTAGGTGTATGTTGCCTTGACAGCCACCCATGGTGATAAAACTCTGTTCCTTCAATCTGCCTATCCTTATTGACCCAGCGGGGCTATTAAATGCGAGTAAAAAAAAATAGAAATAACAACCAATATAACCCAATATCAAAAGAGAAATAACACCCCAGTTTAAACCAATAATAAAAAAAACAATATAAGACATTAAAAAGAGAGAGAAATAACCAAAATATTTCCAGCTAAACTGCTATGTGAAATCATGAAATATGACAAAGAAAAATAACAATCAAACATCTTATGAAATACAAAATGTAGCAAATTAAATTTAACCATCAAGGTGCAGTCCTCATTATCATCTCACACAATGCAGTCATAACCAAATAATGATTTATATTTTGCGTTAATGTTTGAATGGCCACGTTGCCCATATGGTTCCAATAACTCAGTGGTGTCTCCAGCAGTCATGGAATGTCACAAAAATAAGCCACACTACATGGACTTCAGCTCTTGGTCTCCCATAACCAACCAAAAAACTTAGCTCTACACATTTATTTTGGCATTCCTTTTACTTGTGCATACCTTCCTTACATTTCAATATGCAGTATTTTGTAAGAAAATGGCAAAAATAAATACATTTTGTTTGGTCCTAACTCCAATCATAATGTCATTTCTGATGAATGCCAGAATGAATGTTGTGCTCTGCTCAGGCCAAACTCAGGGTGGATATATGACTTTTTAGTGTTTCCTCCCTACTTTTGAACACATATCCACCGCTTCATAAGAAAAAATTCAAATAATTATTTTTTTCTGTTTGCTCACAGAAAAGGAGATAATTTTAATGGCAGCTACATACTGAGACAATGATCTGAGTCCCAAAGATAACTTTGTCTATTCAGAGAATACAATACAAAAAATATTAATTTTCTTGGGAAAACTTAAATGACTCAGAATATAGGAGCAAACTTACATAATATACTACTGTAAATTGAGATTAAGACTTCACAAGGTTTCAACTACTGTTCATATAATGAAATTATTATGCAACAAACAAATAATAAAATAAAAATAGTAGTGCTAACCTTGGAGATTTACTAGGCATAACATTCGAGAAATGTATGAAGAAAACCCAACACATATGTAAGGTTTTATCATTAAGAAAATAGTATGCAGAGCTTTATTCAAAAACTTGTCCACTGAACTTTCTGAATTCAAGATATAAGCCACTAAATATGACATTTAAATAAAATGAGCCTAAGTGAAGTAAATATGTAATCGAATCTTTAACTAGATATTTGAATGAAATATGTTGTTAAGTAAAATTAAAGATCTGATTGATCAATAAATTAATATTCTTTGCAAAATCTAAAGGCTTGTACAGAGATTTTGATTAACTTACAATGCTTTGCACTTTCAAAATAACAAAAACTTTCCTACTTATCTGTTGATTTTCAGCAAGTCAATTTGTGCTTGGATATTTAGAAACAATAATTCAAAACTATTTTATAATAGAGAAAATCCTATATTTAAGATATTTAAATTAATAAACATTACAATTTAAAACAGAACAATATACTTACTGACAATCATCCCTCGCATGTACACTCTCATCAGAGCAGTAGAAAAACTTTCCATTAAACAGTTGCACAGCAATAACAGCGAAGATGAATTGAAACAGTATGTACACTATGAGAATATTGAACACATTCTTGAGGGAGTTGACCACACAGTCAAACACCGATTTCAACTTTGGTACTCTCTTGATGGTTTTCAACGGGCGGAGAACGCGGAGTACTCGAAGTGATTTGATGGTGCTGAGGTTTTGACCAGTAGTGCTGCCCCTGTACATACACACAAACATACACACAGGTTAGAATTTATCTTACTGGAAAAAACAGAAATGTATCAGGATTCACTGACTATCATGACTTTAAACAGAAGAATATGTTAAGGAGGAAGGGGGTTAAATTTTCCCTGAACATTCTAAAACATCTAATTTTTCTTTAATGCTAATGTGACAAAGTCACAATAGCATTATTACTTGTAGGAGGAGCTATGATTCTGATTAAAATTAAAAAAATAAATACTGTAATTAAATAGATACAAATTTGCTCTAAAAAATCGTAAGAAAAAAATTCAGTACAGTGTATGTGTGAATATGTATATAGCATTATATATATATATATATATATATATATATATATATATATATATATATATATATATATATATATATATATATATATATATATATATATATATATATATATATATATATATATATATATATATAATATATATATATATATATATATATATATATATATATATATATATATATATATATATATATATATATATATATATATATATATATACACACATATATACATACATACATATACACACATACATAGTATACATACATACATACATACACACACACTTCCGAGAAGTCTCTGAACTACAACAAGACAGGTGAAATACCAATTTCCAAAAACAGGCCAGTGCACATGTAGGTCACGCACTACTCCATTAGGCAAGGCACAAAATACAGTACATGGGTGTGTGTTGTAAAAGCTGTCAGCATTTTAAAGCTACTTTTATTGATTTTTCAAATTTTCCAGTTCTTCGCTCTTTTACTCACTCTCATTCTCTCTCTCTCTCACACACACATTTTGCCTGTATCAGGCTAGAAGAGTACCACAGGGTTCAGTTCTCTCACCAGCAATGTTCATTGTATACATAAATGATCTACCAGAAGGAATACAATATTATATGTACATGTTTGCTGATGCTAAGCTACTAGGGAAGATAAGAGACTTAGGCGATTACCATACCCTTCAAGATGACCTAGACAAAATAAGTGTATGGAACAACACTTGCCAAAACGGAATTCAGTGTGAATAAATGCCATGTTATGGAATGTAGAATAGGAGGAAATAGGCTACACAAAACATAAATATTATAAGGAAAGGCATTAAAGAACTATGACAATGAAAAAGATCTAGGGATGGTTTTGTCACCAGAAGAACACATAAATGACATTGTGCAAAGCACACATTTTACGCTTTCCAACTTCAGAAACACTTAAATAAATGGATGTTTAAATATTAAAGAAACTGTTCACAACTTTTGTGAGACAAACATTGGAATATGTAGCAGTTGTATGGTGCCCATGTCTAAAGAAGCACATCAATAAACTGGAAAAGGTGGCACATTATGGTTATGAAATGGCTTCTGGAACCAAAAAAAACAAGAGCTATGAGGAAAGGGTAGAGGTGGTAAATATGCCAAAACTAGAAGATAGAAGAAAAAGAGGGAATATGATTAATACATACAAAATAGAAACAGAAACTGATAAACTGACGAAGAGGCATTCTTGAAATCTGCAACTTCAAGAGCAAGAGATCATTGATTCACATTAAGAAAACAAGGTGCTGAAAAACGATTAAAATGTTCTCTTTTGTAGAGTGGTAGACAGTTGGAAAAAAAGTTCAGTGAGAAGTCAGAGGATGTCAAAACTGTCAATAGTTTCAATGCGTCTCATGACAAAACGTACTTTGAAGACAGGACACCACGAGTGTAGCTCTCATCTTGTAACTATACTTAGGTAATTACACACTTGAAGACAGAAGGTTTATACACCAACAGATTTACAAACATCTTCCTTGAGATATTCACGTATCAACACATTAAGCAACCAATGAGAATAGGTTAAGGGGATGTTCCATTGATAATAGACCTAATATTTACCAGGAATGAGTTAAGAGATTTCTAATATACAGTACCTGTCTCCAACAGGCAAGAGTGACCATGTACTCCTAAATGGAAAAAACGCAATACGGTACAACACAGAAGATAATGGAGAAAGTAAAACAATAGAAAATCTCAACTTTAAGAAAGAACAATACAGGAGTCTAAAATCATTTTTTACTGGAATGGTTTGTTGTTATGTAAGGAAATAAATGAGATATAGGCAAATTTTTGAAAGATATATGAGAAAGGCATCCAAATATTTGTACCAAAACCGAGAAGCACGTTCAGAAAATAAGACTGGTTTAATATAAACTGTACATACATAGAGGTCCAGAGACCAAAAAACAAAATAAAAAATAGAATCAAGATATGAAGAGGGCCAAACTCACAAACATACCAGTATTACAAACAAGCAAGAAACAACTATACAGCAGTGAGAAGAGGTAGAAATTAACTTTGAGAAGGGAATAGTAGACAAATGTAGAACAGAACCTGGTCTGCTTTATAAATTTATAAAAAACCAAGTTGCCAATGCAAGATAAAATCCAAAGATTACAGATTCACAGAGACAGAAAAGGAAATGTGTGTGAAACACTAAATTAACAGTTTCAAAGTTTGTGCAGGATGAGGGTTTTCAGTACACCAGCCTCAATGCAGACTTTTGATTGGATATTTGAGTGTATAGACATGTCTAGAAAAGAAGATGAAAAACTGCTCAGGAAGGTAGACAAAAATAATGAATTTGAGATTAGTGCCCCACTGCAGATTATCTTCCAAACATCTTTACAAAATATGCAACTTAACTAACATATGGAAAAAGACAAAGTTACAGTCTACAAGAATGGAAACAGAAAAAAAACAAATAAGTTAGACATTTATTATTGCCAAGTTGTAGTAAAAGCACCAGAAAAAATTATTAAAATGAAGTGGACAGGGTACCTGGAATGTAACAACATAATAGAAGACAGTTTGAATTTTTAACAGGATTGTCTTGCATAACTAATTTACTTAGTTTATATGTTAGAACCATAAAATTGTTGATAGAAGGATAATTTAGGCTATTGCATATATCTGGACTTAAAAGGGAGTCTTGTACAGATTCCCATACAATAGAATTTTGGAAATTAGAACACACTGAAGGGGTGACACGCAGACTTCAAAATTTGATGAGAAAATTTTTAACAAACAAATGCAAGCAGTGATCAGAGACATTGTATTTGACTAGAGAAATTACGCTAGCAGAGTACCTTAAAGTTCAGATCTTGCACTGGTAATGTTCACTATCCATATAAATGATCTACCAGAGGGAATGCAGTTACATGAATATTTGTATAGATGATGCTAAATTGCTTGGGAGAGTCAGGAACTCTGATGACTATTACCCTCCAAAATTACCTAGAGAAGACAAATGAGTGGAGCATCACATGGCAGATGGAATTCAACATAAATAATTTTACATAATGGAATGCAGAATATGGAAGAACAGGCTGCACTTAACTTACTAATTATGTGAAAAGATACTAAAAATTCCAAATGAGGAAATAGATGCAGAAGTGGTTTGGAACAGAACTAGAAGACCACATAAAGAGCAATGTGAGAAGAGCCTATGGTACACTAGCAAATTTCAGAACTGCATTTAAATATTCAATATGAATGAAGAAATATTATAGGAACTGTTCATGCAATTCATGAGACCAAAACTGGAGAATGTAGTAGAGGTGTGGTGTTTATTTATCAAGAAGTACAATATTAAACTGGAATGGGTGCAAAGACATGCTACTAAATGGCTTCCAGGACTGAAAACAAGAACTACAAGGAGAAGCTGAAGGTGCTTAATATGCCAAAGCTAGAAGCTAGAAGGAAAATAAGGTGATGTGATCACTATGTACAAAATAGTAGCGGGAAATGACAAAATAGACAAAGAGGAATTTTTGAACCCTGCAACTTCAAGAACAAGTGGTCATAGATTCAAGCTAAGGAAAAAAAGGTACCAAAAACATAAGAAAGTTTTCTTTTGCAAACATAGTGCTAGACAGTTAGAATAAGCCAAGTGAGAGGACTGTGGACACCAAAACTGTAAGTAGTTTCAAAGCATCACATAACAAAGAGTACTGGGAAGACAGGACATCAAGAATGTAGTTCTCATCCTGTTACTACACTTAGGTAATTACACACACGTGCACAGGTGGGCAAAATTTGTGTGAAAAATAATATGGCAAAGATCATAGCCAACACAGCTGGGCTGTGCATGAAGATAAACAAACCTCAGCAAGCCAATTTAGATAATCTGGTCCAAGTTCAGTGAGATCATAGTATATAAGCTTATATAGACACAAAAGGGTTAAGAAAATAATAAATCTCAGTAACAGAGCAGATGAAGAGAAAATAACTTCTGAATAAACCTATACTGCCAATCTTAAAAGGGCTGCCAATTTCTCTGTTGATACAGAAAATTACGAATTGCAATTCTTAGGATTCACTGAAGCAGACATGATGCAGGAGGTTTTTTATTTGGCTAATAATATTGAACAGAAATAAATTAATGCTGGCAAAACCATACCATTAATTTTATAAAACACTGTGATTATAAGTAAAGGAGTAACGTCATTGGTGGAGACTAGCCATGTTTTGTAAAGATAAATTACATTAACTTCCGTACTGCACGTTAGTTTAATATGGTGCACGTAAAATAAATTATTCCTTCCAAATTTTTTCTTCTTATACTGTTAACCCTTGAACAGCAGCTATATTAAGATGGTCATTCCTGCTTATGCACAAAAAACCAGCGTTGAATGTAATGAGACACCATATTCTGGGTGAGACCCGGAGGCTCCCTGGAGCTTATCCAGGCTGGTATGTTAATGTCAGACTTTGGCATCAGCCATGTGTATGGTGTTCTGTGGGCCTACCAGGGACCATGAGCCAGAACCTGGCCCACTCAGAGAAGCATGGGGAGCAATAGTTTATAGAAACCCCTGTGTGGTTGGAAGCATTCTATGTCTGCCATCGACTGGGTCAGGCACCCAGAAAGGTAAGCGTCCCAAAACAAACCCCTATTCTGGTGAAAATTGCTACCAAAAGT